ACTGAGCCACTCGGCCGGCCCCCTAACACTTTTTATTTTCTATGTATGTGTGTGTGTGTGTGTGTGTGTGTGTGTGTGTGTGTGTGTGTGTGTGTTTAAATTATAGCCATCCTAGTGTGTGAGAGATGATATCTGATGGTAAAATGAGTTTTTATATGTAACTTTCTTCCTATAGCTTATTCTGTATGTTAAAAGTAGGTACACTTATGAATATGATAAAGTCTATAAAAATCCATTAAATGTCCTGCAAGTTAAATGAGTATTACAGTGCTTCAATAGATCCCTCTGTAGAAATATTGTTTTGACATTTTAATATTCATGTGCTTGATTTGAATGAGACAAATACATTCATTTAGAACAGGAATGCCCACCTGAGGAACTCTTTGCCATAGAAGCTTCTGATATTGCCATAGAGGCTTCTAGTTTGATATAACACATAATTATAGTGTCCAAAGTGAGAAAGACTTAGAGTACAGTATGCTTGATTTTGATTGCGTGTAAAGAATGATTAAGGATATTAGCAGTTACCATGCCCAGCCTCTGGTCATTGTTACCAAATACTGCATGAATACCTCCAGTTAAAAAAAAATATGAACAGCTATTTCATAGAGTGACACATTACATTTTAGACAGCACTTTTATAAGCCATACGTTCTTTTGTATGCAGAGCTAAAAACTGCTTTCCATGAACACACTAATTGGATCTTGTTATTCTCTAGCTACAATTCATTTTTCCACATGAAGATAGCTATCATATGCTCTCAAATTTTCTCTTTTTCCATACTGCACAGTTCCAGTTTTTTCTATCCATCACATTTCAGAGTTCTCATACTTTTATGTCTTCTGGATGTACTCCATTTGTGGACATCCATCCTAAAACGTGTTTCTCTAGATATGATCTGATCCAAAGAAGGGAACTAACACATAAAATGGATTGCATGCTCATAATAGCCCTGTGATTTAGATATATGCGTTCCCTTTCTGCAAGTGAATAAACTTAGGCTCAGGCAGGTGAAGAAATTTTTCAATGGTCATACAGTAAGTAGAAGAACTGAGTTTCAAGTCCAGTTCAGATTTAACTGTCTGTAAAACATGTTCTTTTCATCAATAATGGTAATATCAGTATTGATAAGTGTAACTACCATTTATTGTGTAGATAATATATACTCAACACTATATGAAGTACTAGACTTGCATCTAAGCCTCATAGAAGATTTGTGAGGTAGAGAGTACTATTTCTACAAATGAGAGAACTGAAGATCAGAAAAGTAAAAAAACTAAAGGCCATTGAGAGAGCGGCGTAGTCAAGATTTAATACTAAATGTGATTCCAAAAACTGTTCTCTTAAATACTTGTATTATACTAATCTGTCTGTGTTGTTCCATGGTATAGTTGATATTTTAATAATTAGGAGCATAACTAACAGGTGTTTCAGTGTTACAAATCTATATAAAATAATCTATGATGAAATATATAATTTGCTGTTATCACAATTAATTTTTTTCATTTCCTTTGATGTTAAAATATTGCTGATTTCACTATATATTGATACAGCCTTTCTGTCAGTATATAAAAAAATACTAAAACAAAAGGATAACCATATTTAAAAAAATTTTGTTCAGTTACAGTTGACACACAATATTAGTTTCAGGTGTACAGCATGGTAGTTAGACATTTATATAATTTATGAAGTGATCCCCCTGATAAGTCTAGTACCTCCTGACACCATACATAGTTATTACAATATTATTGACTATATTCCTTATGCTGTACTTTACATCCCCATGACTATTTTGTGACTGCCAATTTGTACTTCTTAATCCCTTCACCTTTTTCATCCAGTCCCCCAAACCCTCTCCAATCTAGCAATCATCAGTTTCTGTATCTATGAGTCTGTTTCTGTTTTGTTTGTTTATTTTGCTTTTTAGATTGCACATATAAGTGAAATTATATCGTATTTGCTTTTATCATCTGACTTAATTAACGTAGCATAATACCCTCTAGGTCCATCCATGTTGCAAATGGTGAGATTTTGTTCTTTTTTATGCCCGAGTCATATTCTATTGTATATATGTACCACATCTTCTTTAAGAATAACTACATTTTAAAATTTTGTTTTCTTTTAGGTCCACCTCATTCATTTAACCGAGATGAAACAATAATCATTGCTTTGGCATCAGTCTCTGTATTAGCTGTTTTGATAGTTGCCTTATGCTTCGGATACAGGATGCTGACAGGTAAAAATATCACTTAACAATAAATCCTGTTGTTTATTAAACATGCCATTTAATCAAAATTTATTTTCTCCTTTAAAAAAATCTCCATACAGGCCGGCTGAGTGGCTCAGTTGGTTAAGAGTTAGCTTAAGAGTGCGAGCTCTGAGCAACAGGGCAGCTGGTTGGATTCCCACATGGGCCAGTGATGCTGTACCCAAACTGAGCTGTCGCTGAGCTGCCAACAGGTGGCAGGATGGCTCATCTGGTGTAACAACAAGATTGCCTGTTCAGTGGTGGGCTACGCCCACCCGCAACTAAGACTGAATTGGGCACCTTGAGCTGAGCTGCCGCCTGGATGGCTCAGTGGATAGAGCATGCGCTCTTAACAACAAGGCTGCCGAGTTTGACTCCTGCATGGCCTGGTGGCTACGCCCACCCGCAACTAAGATTGAATTGGTCACCTTGAACTTAGAGGCCACAAGCTGCTGATGGGAAGCCAGATGGCGACGGGTGCCCTTCACAACGAAGATTGAAGAACAACAACTAGGCTGGTCCCCTCCCCCAATTCCCCAATAAAAATCTTTAAAAAAAACCCAAAAAAACTCCATGCTAAAAACCACCTCTGTGCTACAGTAGCTGTCATCTTTCTGTCTTAACAAACTTTTTCCACTATATATACACTATATACAGAATATCTATTACCTAGATTCAATGATTACCAAATCTATGTATCATCTATTACCCCACTCACTAAACCCTTCTGTGCCACTGGATTGTTTTGAAGAAATCACAGATAGCATTCATTTATTTATAAATACTTTAGTACTATCTGAAATAGAAGGACTTAAAATATATGTATATATAACCACAATACCATTTTCACATCTTAAAAAAAAATAACAGTAATTCCTCAGTATCATCAAATGTCCAGTTGGTTCTAATAATTTAGGTTGATGAGCTTTTTAGAAAATCAGCACTCATTATTGACTTGAATAACTTTAATAAAACTATCTTTAATGTTTTGGCAATATTTCTTAAGGTTTTAAATGAGGTCTGTTGCTGGAATCATCTCAGAATTCAGCTTTCATGTTATCATTTATCTTTGTATATAGATGATTCCTATAGTTTAGTTAATAGTTTTACTTCCATTGACATGAGGTATAAGTCTTGCTACCTGTCCTTCTGTAGCTTTTATTTTTAACAGTAATATAATAAAATGTTTAATAAAGATCTTCATTTGAAGATACACATGCATTAATAACTTCTTTTGCCTGTTCCTATAGGAGACCGTAAACAAGGTCTTCACAGTATGAACATGATGGAGGCAGCAGCATCAGAGCCCTCTCTTGACCTAGATAATCTGAAACTTTTGGAGGTAAGATTGCTTTTAGATTATGAACTGTTCTTTCTGCGCCCGTATCTGAGAAACTTCATTCATTCACTGAATCATTTGTTCATTTATTCAACAAGCATTTATTGAGCATCAGTTTAGTGCCAAGGCCTATTCTAGGCACTGAGAATGTAGACGAACAGTACAGATATCTCTCTTGAGTCTTATATGCTAGTGGGAGAGAGTCTACAAACAGGTACACGAATGTATATTATTTCAAGTAGTAGTAAGTGCTATGAAGAAAAATAAAATGGATAAGGAGATAAAGTTATGGAAAGGGAGTTATTAAAGTATATTTATTGGATTGTCGGAAATGTCATGATATATTTTTTCCTATGTTTTTCGTTGCAAAAATGCGTCATGACTTTTCCGACAACCCAATAGAAAGGAAATGATCTTTGAGTACAGACTTGAACAGAGTATGGAAGTAAAGATACGTGAAATGCTAAGAATAATGTGCCAGGCAAGGAATCCATAGTAGGTGCCAAATAAATATTTCTTGTCTGTGAATATATTGTATTTTTTTATCAGTATATACAACTATTATATATTCCATAGAATTTAATTTTCATTTGGTGATTTCTCAGAACCTGTGTTAAAAGTTTTATTGTGATCAATAGGATAAATAAACTATGATCCCCAAACCAGAGACTGTTCAATAATAGATATGATAGATTTAAGTATATAAAATATTTTAACCTTCCATTTGGAAGAAAAATATAATAAAGGTAAAAGCCAAATTCAAAATAAGTATTTCAACATAGAAACAAAGAATTGATAAAGAGCTAGTATAAATCAGCATGAAAGAAATAATCCATAAAAAATGGACAAAAGAGATGAACTGCCAATTCACAAAAGAAGTGTGGCTAATAAATTATAATAAGATGCCCAATTTACTTAAATTGAAAAAAATACTAATTAAAACTATAGGATTTCATCCTAGATTGAGTAAAATAAACACTCTTAAACATTGCTGACTTAACCATGTATTATTACCTTTCTAAAGGGCAGTTTATCTGTTCGTTAAATTTTAACCTAGAAATAGTGAATGAAATATAGCAAATGTCCTTAAATAATTGGTGGTAAATCCCTAACCTGTTTCAGTAAAAAGTGAGAGAAATCCTCAGAGACCAAAAAAGGTAACAGGTTACATTTTGCTGGTTCTTTGTGTATTTTGAGTATTTTTTTTATTGTATCCTTGATGTTGTGTGTGTTATATTATGGAGACCTGTGTTCTTTAGCTTCTTCTGAAGTGTGTTCGTTTTCAATGTTTGTTTTAGTATGCGGTTGGTTATCTTGATTGGACATACTGCAAACTCGTCCTGGGCAGAAGCTCAAATCTCAGTTCATTTATTTTGTCTTTAGTTGGAATTTGTCCCATGCATTCGCTGGGTTTTCCCCTCTCTGACTCTCCATTCTGGAATTCTCTCCTCACTTTCCAGAAACCGTGGCTGCACCAAATTTTGCCCTCTGGTTCTTGGGGCCAGAAAGATTTTCGATTTTGTACTGCTTTTTTAGCTCCACTGCATAGTGCTGAATCCAGCCTGCTCTCAAGCTAAAAGCTATAAAAATGGGTAGCTCATCCTGTACCATTCCTTTCTTCTAAGTGTTGACTTCCTCAGAATCTACCTCTTTTTGTTCATTCTCCAACACTTTTAGATTTTGTTTTACAATTTTGTTCAGAGTTTATAGTTGCTATTTGTGGAAGGGGTGGGTCTCATAGGAGCTTCCTGAGCCATATGAGATGTGGATTTTATTAGTTCCTTGATAATGGAGTAATTTAAACTTTAAGCAATAGAGAGCTGTGGCACACATATAGATTTACACTTTATTTAGTAAATTTGATTATTCAGTTGTGATATGAATTAATACCTTGCTTTCTTTAAAACAAATTTGCAGCTGATTGGCCGGGGTCGATACGGAGCAGTATACAAAGGTTCCTTAGATGAGCGTCCAGTTGCTGTAAAAGTGTTTTCCTTTGCAAACCGTCAGAATTTTATCAATGAGAAGAACATTTACAGAGTGCCTTTGATGGAACATGACAACATTGCTCGCTTTATAGTTGGAGATGAGAGAGTCACTGCAGATGGACGCATGGAGTATTTGCTTGTGATGGAATATTATCCCAATGTAAGTTCTTCATAAAAAATAAACTGACATTTATATGAGCAGTCAATCAGGTGTTCAAGAGGACCACTGTTATGTAGAGCTTTACTGGTTTGCAAACTGGTTAGTAAGGGTCTACAGTGAAATAAGGATCTTACACCGGAATATGAATCAACTAAGTCACTAGTTAACCATTTAATCCCCCCACCAACTTTCTTGATGAAGGAAGCAGTGCTTTGATTAACATTCATTCTGGTGCAAGCTCTTTATCCCAACAATCCCTGGGTGGTACTAAATAGTTTGTGGATGAGCAGCTTGAGTAGCACTGACACTTATATGTTTACAAAACCTCTGTTTTCTACTTGAAAAACATAACAATATAATTTGTGTTTGTGCTAATAGATAACAGTATAAAGAAGGAGTCTAAAGACTTTTTTTCTTCTTAATTTGATAAATCAAGGAAGTATTTTATTTTATTTATTTTCATTTATTTATTTTTTTATTTTTTTATTGTTAGTTTCAGGTGTACAGAACAATGCAATAGTTACCCTTTTCACCCTCACAAAATAACAACCCCCCTCCCCCCAACCACTG